CTTTTCTCCAATCCCCAACCTCCAAACCCTCCCTATCTGAGTTTTTTCTCTATGTGAAAGAAAATAATTATTTGCAAAAATAAGAAACTCAGGTGGGATGCTCACCTTTGATCTACAAGGGAAATGTATGAAATTATAGGGCTAGAAAAGGGAATCAAAAATTAATGAAGCTAGAACCAAGTTGCTAAAATAGATAGATAGTAAGCTATGGAGTGCCAAAGTGAGGAAGAGTCATAAGAGTTTCTCAGACCAGCCACCCCTCTTTTCTGGTTCCTGCAGCTCTGTGGAAGGTCAGAAGAGGAGTCCAGGAAAGACCTGCCAGTCTACCCATGTCACTTAACAACAAATGTTGCATTCCTTCCAATATCTTCTCTTGCTTTCTTATCTTTCACCCCAATCCTGTTCACCCAATGTCTTTCTTCTGATTCTTCCAAACATAAACTAAAATTTATAAATTCCTGTCACTGATGTCCAAAAAACAGATTTGTAAGCTACATGTTATGGTAAATGCTCTATGTTTCGTTATCATTGTGCAATTCAAGATATAGATGAGCACCTTGGGCTGTGTCCTTGGCTCTAGGACTGAGCCTGGTCCATATGAACTGCTTAATAAGAACTTGCTGAGTAAATATTTTAATGCTGCTCCCTCTTCTCCCTGAGTTGGTGATTCAGAAAGGCAGTTGTAGTTCATAGGGCAGACTTTCTCCTACATTTGCTGATAACATGCCAGTCATTCCTGGTCGTCTTCAGACAAATCAAATTAGAAATGGTTGTACTCATTTGTAAAAATCGAGAGCTGGCTTTGGAATCTTTCACCATAATTTAGATTGAATAAAGATCATTTTCCCCCAGCTTATAAATGCTTGATTGCCTTTGCTTGACGCCTCATGATTGAAAGTCAGCCTTGCACTGCTTGCTTTATTTTTTACCCACCAGGGTGTTGTGATGTCTGTGTGATGATTAGAAACAAAACAAACACCCACAATGATAATGCTTTGTAAATAGGAGTTTGGCAGGGAAATATAATCTTTGAATGTGGCACATTTGAAAAAATCTGAAACTAATGAAGGTAAGCATAACTTCGGGCTGGTAGTACTATCTCCCTTCAGATCCTAAAAATCAAAACAAACAAACAAAATCCTGTGTATCTCCTAAGGCAAAAACAGTGATTATAAATTTTTATTCCACTCGGATCCCAAAGAAAGTAGTTACCTATACTCTGCAATCACCTTTGGCTGTCAGTGGGAGTGGACTAGTCAAGTAGACTTGACACACCCATCCTCTACCTACCATATTGTCCTTCTTCTACCATCTCTGCCTCAGTTTTTCAAATTAATTCAGAATCATTTTACTTTTTTTTTAAAACAAAGATGTATTCATTTATTTCATTTATTTATTTACTGGTTGGGGAAGGAGTAGGGTTGGGCTATACTCAGATATTTTCAGGGCTTACTCCTGACTCTGGGGTCAGAAATCAGTTGGGCAGAGCCAGAGCACTATATGCAATGCCCAGGACAAAACTGGAATTAACCCATGCAAGGCAAGTGCTTTAACTCCTGTACTATCTCCCTTACTCTTCCCTTTGACCTATGGTTAATTGTGATAAATGATCTCAGATCGTTTTACAACAGAGTGGACAAATGGTACACAGTTAAAACTATTTTCCTTTCCCTTCGTTTGTTCTTTTTTTCTTTCGATACCCTCTCTTTTTCTGCCTTTCTTCAGGTACTTGTATCATGAGAGTCATCTAGTTGTCCTAGGTTTCAACTCTGGAACATGATTTGTGATTTATGAGACTCTTCTAGGTTAACAGGATCACCTAGATGCATATCAGAGCACTGTGAGGAGCTGGTCACCCCAGAGAGAACACAGCATGATCTTTAAATTTATAGACAATGGGATGGCCTATAAATTGTACTATGCCATAGAGAACTATAGAGGTGGCAGAACCTTGAGAATGTTGAGGGTCTGGAAAGGTCTAAGATAATGGAGAGGAGGAATGCTCATGAAGCCTGGAAGTAAGATGGGAGTAGATACAGAGGACTGAAAAAATCCACTTCTGGCAAAAGGAGAAAAACTGGAAGTGTGTTTATGGGACAGGTTACCTTAGCGATGATGCAAATTGATTGCCTGAGTAAGTTTAAAGGCTGCCATTTGGTTTCAGTGTGCCTCCACATTCTAATAGGTGTGGACACACCCCAAAGTCATGCCAACCAGCCATATACTGTCTCTGTCCTTTCTGTTCCAATGCCTTAGGTTAACAGATGGGAAAATAGAAGTAGGACATCCTAGAGCATGTGAGCCCTCAATTCAGCACAGGACCTGGTATCAGTTTTACCCAAAGACAATCTATGCACTTGTTTCCCCTATTTCGTCACTCAAGATGAGCTCTCCACAAGCCCATGATTCTCTCTTTCCCGCCCACAGTTGGCTCTTGGTCACTTTTCTTTACATATAATACACTCTTTGGAGTTCAAGATGCTGCTCTGTTTAATGTTCATTGATTTAAAGAAGGTCTTTGATTCTGTTGAGACTGAAGTGGTTATTGAAGCCCTAGTCAAACAGGGCATTCAAACTCAATACATCAGGATCCTCAATGAGCTGTATTATGGATTCACTACCAGGATCTCACCATTCTACAAAGAAGTAATCATCTAAGTCAAGAGAGCGGTTCGGCAAGGTGATGCCATTTCACCGAAACTCTTCAGTTCCACCTTCGAGAACATCATGAGATGATTGGAATGGGAAGGAATGGGAGTAAAGATAGACGGTTTGCAACTACACCACCTCTGCTTTGCTGATGACATCATTCTAATAACACCAAACATTACCCCATTGGCACAAATGCTGGTCAACTTAGACTGTGAGTGTGGAAAGGTTGGACTACAGCTGAATCTCATGAAGACAATGTTTATGAGAAACAGTCTCATTCCTGACATCCCATTCACTCTCAATGGAACGAACATCTCTGAATGCAACAATTATGGATACCTAAGTCAAGAAGTTAACATGTCAAATGACCTGGCACCTTAGTTGTGCAGGAGGAAAAGAACAGCGTTTCAAGCCTTCAAGAGCATTGAAGAAATAGCTAAGAGGACGAAGAACCTCTGGCTCCGGGCACCTCTCTTCGATTCCATGTTCTTCCTGCATTAACATATGCCTCAGAGACCTGGGCCCTACAAAAACAGGATGAGAACACTATTAGGTCTCCCAAAGAGGAATCGAAAGAGCTATGCTTGGAGTATCGCACTTCACTCAAGTGAGAGAAAGAATCCGGAGTTCCGAACTCCATCGACCATCAAGAATCAGAAACGTTGTCTCATTTCGCAAACATCAAAAAATAAGATGGGCTGGACACATAATGCGATTTGGAGAGAACCGCTGAACTAGAGCCATTACCTACTGCATTCCACTGGACGTCAAAAGATTGTGTGGCCGCCCACCTACGAGATGGTCAGACTTCTTCATCAAGACCCTGAATGATCTTGAAGATCTTCGTGTTCCTAGAAAGAGCAGACGCCATTGGGATACACTAGCACGTGACAGGGACAGATTGAGACATTACTGGCACCCGCTCGAGCAAATCGATGAGTAACAGGATGCCATTGATCAAGTGATCAAATGATCAATACACTCTACTCCTGAACACAATTCAATTGTATATCCTATTAGACTTTATCTCTTAATCTCTATATCAGCTATCTTTTTTGTGCATTTCCCCCCTTTTCTTTCCATTGAAGAATTTGTCGTACCCTAAAATGTCCTAAAATAAAGTTTTATTTCAGAGAAGAGTAAATATGCAATTGTGAGAGCACCTGGCATGAAGAGCTGCCATGATTTAAAAGCTTATTTTACTTATCCTCAAATAAACTTGGGTTAGATTTCCTATCAATATTTTTTCTAGTTCTAATTTCTACAAATGTAATATCCATGAGCTCTATTCTTCTTATCCACCCATCATTGCTCATACTTCTGAAAATACTCGAAATTAATTAAAAATCTGACAAATTTCTCTTGACTTCTAAGTTGATTGATTATTTTGGCAGCAAAAAAAAGATTTTATATTATTATTATTGTTATTATTGCTCAAGCGGGCCCAGTAACGTCTCCATTGGAGACTTTGTTGTTACTGTGTCTGGCATATCGAATACGTCACGGGTAGCTTGCCAGGCTCTGCCATGTGGGTGAGATACTCTCGGTAGCTTGCCGGGCTCTCCGAGAGGGGCAGAGGAATCGAACTTGAGTCGGCCATGTTGGCTGCGTGCAAGGCAAACGCCCTACTGCTGTGCTATTATTATTATATTATTGTTGTTGTTGTTATTATTATTATTATTATTTATTCTCTCTGTGTCATATTTCTTCCTGGTTCCCTGGTCCCTTAAAGTTGAGAAATGACAGGTTCCCTGTATTTCCTTGGGAATATCTTTCTGCTAACTTCACCAAATCCTTTTTGTGTATCTCTGCCTTCTGCTGAAAGGCTAGGCAGGTCATCCACATTCTTCTCTTTCCCTACTCCCTATCATGAAAGTACTACTTCTCTTTTCAACTTTCACTTATTTAGTCATCTCTTCTGGAAATCTCCCAAGTGGATTAGTGTCCTTCATCTTTTAGCATATTCCTTGTTGTCACAGAATTTTTTATATATTCCTTATCTTAGTTCTTGCCACATAGTTGACTTAAAGCACATAATTATTCAACTGGATGACTGCATGCAATTATATTTCTATCTTTGTTTCCTTAAGGTTGTTCAAGCTTCTCATTTTCCCTCCCTTTGGAGACTCTTTGATGGTTCTCTTTGCAGATTTTAAAACCAGACGAGGGACAATCTTTGAGGGTCTGTTGGGGGTAATCATAACATGTTCTTTTTTTCCTTTAAGATCTCTCAGCTGAATGTGGAATGATCCGGAAATTAAGGTCAACTCCAGGTAGTTATTTATATCAGCTGTCAGATTGCCGAATAAAAAATGGCTTTTATATATTTTATTTTTATTGTTTTCCAGGGCAATGTCACTTTTTCCTGCTCCGAACCACAAATTGTTCCCATCACTTTTGTCAACTCTAGCAGCAGTTATTTGCTGCTGCCTGGAACTCCCCAAATTGATGGGCTTTCAGTGAGTTTCCAGTTTCGAACATGGAACAAGGATGGTCTGCTTCTGTCCACAGAGCTCTCTGAGGGCTCAGGGACCCTGCTGCTGAGCCTGGAGGGTGGAACCCTGAGACTCGTGATTCAGAAAGCGACAGAATATTCAACTGAAATTCTCACAGGTACTGTTGCTGATACCTCTTTCAGTTTCTTATTCATCCAAGTTGTTGAGATTTCTTCCCCAAACATACAAAACCAGCTCTAAAATGTATGGAGTTCTCAAACATCCACAAATTACATTTGAAGAGGTAATTTTTCTCCTCTTCATTAAAAAAGACACTCAATTTCTATTTGGCTTTGTAACCTTTGGCAATTCTTTAATTTCCTTGTAATTTTACATGCTCATATAAGAAATAGGGATATGAAGTCCTCCATAACACTATTTGATATGGTATAGAGTAAAACAAATACAGAATGCATTGCTTGGTTTCTTCTAGAAATAGGATGTACTATATGGAAACTTGCACATTGCTATATTATTTTTCACTTTAATGGTGAGAAAATGAAGAGTCACGATGTTAAATATCTTTTTATATTACACAACAATAAATGGTTATACTACCATTTCATCTTGAATTTGTCTGACATCCATCTATTTTTTCATTGTGTACTATACTACCATGGCACTAATTGGAGCGATAGCACAGTGGTAGGGCGTTTGCCTTGCATGTGGCCAACTTGGCTGACCTGAGTTCAAATCCTCTGCCCCTCTCAGATATCCTGGCAAGCTACTGAGAGTATCTTGCCCACATGGCAAAGCCTGGCAAGCTGCCTGTGCTGTATTTCATAAGCCAAACACACTAACAACAAGTCTCACAGCGGAGATGTTACTGGGCCCACTCGAGCAAATTGATGAACAATGGGAGGGCAGTGCTACAGTGCTATACTTTTATTTTAAATAAATAAAAAAAAGTCTTTTATACATTTTAAAATAAAAATTTAAGATACCAGATAAATGATTACTAATACATGCAGCATGTAAGTGTGGCTAACCTATTATCAGTGATTCTCAAATAATTGAAGTTTAGAAAACTCACTCATTTTTTTCTTTTTACCCAGCAAATCAAGTAGATTCTCAGATTCACAGAGTTAGGAACAAATTATGCTTTTCAGTCTTCTGGCTCATTCACCTGTTGTTTATTCAACACTAAACTGTAGAGCTTTCTCCCCCCCTTCTCCATTCTTTATATTCCAACTAATTTTTGTCATTCTAAAAGCTGGATGTTTTGCTTATTTGCATAGTACTCACTGACATCAGACTATGTGCTAGCATTGAAATAGTAGTTAAGGTGTGATTTTTAAGTCAACAATTATTTGAAGAGCTACCCTGACTATAAGTCTGAATAAATTCTATCCCATCCATGTACCTAGGGCCAGTATCTAATCTGGATTAAGCTATATTGGTCTATTAAATATGAATTTTAAGCCCCAACCCCTTACTGGATTATGGTTTTTAATTCAAATAAGCCTTGTCAAATAGTAAAGGACATGACAGAAAGTCAAGATCAGATCAGACCATGGGGGATCATTAGTGGAAATAAATAATAAGAGACTGAACCCCTAGTTCTGGATGTCAGATGGATCCGTCAAAAATATGCCCCCTTTTGGGCCAGGGAGATAGCATAATGGATAAGGTAGTTTCCTTGTGTGCAGTCAACCTCCAGCATTCTATATGGTCCCTGAAGCTATGGCAGAAGTGGTCCCTGACTGAGCCCTGAGAACCACCAGGTATGGTTTCAAAACTATCTATCTATCTATCTATCTATCTATCTATCTATCTATCTATCCATCTATAATAGATAGATATTTTCTCCTTATTATCTTGTGACCCTGAATAAAATTTCTGTATTTAATTCATGTGTAAATCAGTGTGAATCATTTATTGTGGTGTAACTAATTATAGCAATATTTTGAGGTTGAAACAGCATTCATTATTACTCTATTTTGATGGATCATGAATCCAGGGGGTACTTCGCTATATACTCTGGCTCAAGATCACTCATAAGACTGCATGTAAGTCATTGGCAGTCTTGACTTCCTATGTAAGTCATATAAGTCAATTCCAAGATTCAGATGGGATAGATTTGTTTTCAGTATAACTCATGCAAACTTTGGCAGACCTTAAAAGATCCATTTCGGGCTGGAGAGATAGCACAGCGGGTAGGGCATTTGCCTTGCACGCGGCTGACCCGGGTTCGATTCCCAGCATCCCATATGGTCCCCTGAGCACCGCTAGGAGTAACTCTTGAGTGCAGAGCCAGGAGTAACTCCTGTGCATTGCTGGATGTGACCCAAAAAAAAAAGCAAAAAAAAAAGAAGATCCATTTCAAGAGTATCTGCAAGGCCTTTCTAGAAGGTTCTCATGTAGTGCCAGATACTTATCCTAGAGTGAGTGATTTAAGAAAGAGTGAGCTAGAGCAGAGTTTCTCAGGGGACCCAGAATATTCTAATAAACAAATATCACTTATATCACAAATAAATGCTTCAAATAAAAACCACTTAAATGGGGGCCATGGCATAAGACAAGGGGGTAGCTGATTGGAAAGGGAACACAAAAGAAACAAGGTCGGAAAGGACAACTGTTAGGGAAAAAAGTAATAAAAATATTACTTAAGGCATCAAAGACAAAAGTACTGACTTTTTATTATCACTGAACTGGCATCTTATCAGTTTAATCATTCTTTTAACTACATGTAAGTGATTAAGCCCAACCTATGTTTAAGCCAGGGGCACATGTTTTGGATGACATGGATCGCCGAATATCATCTTAAAGTCTGCCTATCTAGGATAAAAGAATATCTTATATCATAAGACTATTGTAGTGATTAAGTGATACCGTGCATATAAAATCTTTAGTATAAGTTTTAGGGATTATCAAGTAATTTTTTTCTCTTCCATCCAGAATTAAGACATATAGACAGAAGGGACCTCATTCACTCAGTAGAATCATAAAAGCCAAGTGAATTTGTGCAGTCACAGTACTTTTACAAAATTTATAAGATTTCCAGTAATGGAGGTGAGTTAATCACTTAGAAACATAATATTTTTCATGCTCAGAGTTATAAAAGTTAAGCCTCAATCCTCCTTATTTGAAGAAGAAAAATGTGAGCTGGCACCAGACTGCTTCTCTCTTAATTGTTGAGGTGTTGGAATATAGAGCCTTGTAGGCCTCAGGTCAAAAATGCAGTTTTAATATTGTATAGGCCCTAGTGGCATTTTGCTCTAAAGCATCCAGGTGCTGCCTGTGTTATTAAGCACATGTCAGTCCATTAAAAAGCATTTATGACCGAGAGACAAGCTGGTAAAAGCTGCCATGTTACCCAGCTACAGAATGGCAGGGAAATCATCAGTTATTTTAGACCTGTCTCTCAAAAAATGAAGCAAATAAAAGGAAGATCTTAAAATGTGCTGACTGAGGTCTTGGAGTTTGTATAGGAAAGCTCATGCCTGATTCTTTCACCAGAAAGAATTGTCAAGGTTTAGAAAATTGTACTTTCATTTTTCTTTGAAATAAATTATGATATTGTGTCTGCTCAAGGTCTTTTTTTTTCTTTTAACCCCGAGTAAGGGTGGATAAAGAACAGATATATAAACACACAAAGAACAAAATGCTTCCTCCTTATATTTCTGAGAAGTAGTTTTCAGAATAGTTAGGATCATGTTGCTTTTCTAAGGGATGAAAACACCTATGAAAAAGTACAAAGAAATGGCTATTGTCCCAGTAATTATATTTAGGACTACTGGTGACACTCAACACCTAGCATACCGAAGAGAATAGTGTAGTACCATGTGTTATGGAACAGGAAACCCAAGGAACACAAATATTTATTTGAAACTAAAATAGTGAGGCACATGAATAAATCCTTTGTATACTGCCTCCTTTTTTCAGAGTTTAACACACTTTTAATGGCCTATTAAGGATTTGCGGGGGGGGGGGGGTGGTGGAGGGGGTCTCTGTGATAAAGAGGCTCATCAAATGCAGATCTCTCTTTTGGATTCACAGCTTTTTGTTCTTTTGAAAATTCACATTGCATTTTCTTCTCACCACATTTATCTCTTTAAATACTTTAAATTGTTAAATGTTTGACTGATTCAAGTGTAAAGAAACTCTGCTTTAGAGAAAAGATAATGGGTATTAAAGAAAAATAAGCCTATTTAGAATCTAACGTTGTATCTTTCCAAAATATTTTGCTCTGTGACCATATAATGATGACTGATTATATTAATAAGTGGAATATTAAGTGGAAGAGATAGATATCCACACACATATCCAAATATTCATCAAGAATATATGACATACTGGGCCAGATAATTAGTATAGGAGTTAGGACACTTGCCTTACCTATGATTGATCAGGTTTATTCCCTGGCATCCCATATGATCCACTGAACCCTTCCAGAAGTAATTCCTATGTGCAGAGCCAGGAGTAATTCCAATGCATTGCGATTGTGACAAAAACAAACAAACAAACAAAAAAAACACCCCCAAAACATATGACAAACTTTTCCAATATCTTTTTAAATGCTTAATATTCGTTGAGTTTATGATTTAGAGACTGACTGCTAAGTAGCATGAGATACTACAAGTAAATATCTTTATGCTTACAAAGATTGTATTCTTGATTCTGGAGATAGCATTTCCTAGTTTAATAGCTCCTTCTTCCTTAAACCTGACATGAAATTAAAGGACTGCATCAGGATATGAAGAAAAGATTCTAGGAGTTCTGCTTGAAGTCAGACAATCAAATAAGTGAACAAACACTTAGATTTCCTACTTGTATTTCTATCACAATTAGAAGTCAGCTCTTTTTCTTTGACACTTTCCTTAAGTTCTTTGTGTCATGGTTTGGGGCCATTCTCTTTCTCAAGTCCATATTTGGTTCTTGATGCCTCTTGATGCCATTAATTTTTTAAATAAATTAATGATTGTCGTTTCATGGGCTGGAGCAATAGCACAGCGGTAGGGCATTTGCCTTGCCCGCAGCCAACCTGGCCAAGCCGGGTTCGATTCCTCTGCCCTTCTCGAAGAGCCCGGCAAGCTACCGAGAGTATCTTGCCCGCACAGCAAAGCCTGGCAAGCTACCTGTGATGTATTCGATATGCCAAACACAGTAACAAGAAGT